CCTTTTCTCTTTACCCCTTCATAATAAAACTGCTTGAGTTCACTCTGTGAGATACTGGCTTCCTCTATTTTACAGAAACTGCCTTGTGAAGACCCCCCAGACCCACCACGTTGAGGCATGAAGCGTAGAGATTGGTAAGAGACTGGGTATGGGGAGATAGGCCCAGGTCTGAGTATTTTGCAACGTTCATTGTGCTAAGACCACGTGTTCTAAAATTCTGTAGCACACGAGGGAATTTCCGACTTGTATTAGCTGCTTTCCCTGTCAACAGAAACTGCTGACTCCCCATTGCGGTTTCCCTTCACAGGAGCCGTGACTGCCGTACATTTCCTAGGGCAGGTCATGCGCACACCTGCTGGCTGCCTAATGGACCCAGAGTGCATTTCCTGAGCCACCATTCATCTCACTTTGCAGCTCAAATGGCAGGACTCTTCCGGGAATTATTTCCCCGCGGAGCTTCAACGTTAACAACGGGGTCACCGACCGCGAAGAGGGGTCTCCGAGGGGTCTGACCACGGGGCTCGCTGCGCTGCGCCGTCACCGCTGCAGAGCCAGGCCCTGGGCAGGGCTGGGATGATCCGTGGAGCCCCCACACTCTGACATCACTTGTCCCACGTGCTTCGAAACCAAAACGGTATCTTGGTGGGGGCAGTCCCCTCCAATCATCAGGTTTTCTCGAACTCTTTAATATATATTGATTTCAGAGAGGAAGGGAGAGGGAGGGAGAGAGAAACATCGATGGGAGAGAATCAATGATCCTGTGCCTCCTGCACGCCCCACACTGGGGTGGAGCCCGCAACCCAGAATCGAACCGTGACCTCCGGGTTCATAGGTCGATGCTGGGGGGCACAAGCTCTTTCCTTTGCGCACCTCCTCCTGCAACAAACATAACGGGGTCCAGCCAAAGCCGCCGCCTCCGGGGCGCCCCCCTGCGGTCTGAGCTGAGCTGGGCCATTGACAGGACGTAGGAAAGGCCGCCGTCCGCTCCTGCCAGGCCTGGAAGCGGATTGGTGGGGAAGGCCTGGGAGGGGCGTGGCCTGTGCGCTACGCGGGCGTGTCCTGTGTGCGACGGGGGGTGGCCTTGCGCGGAGGGGCGTGGCCTGTGCGCTACGCGGCGTGTCCTGTGTGCGACGGGGCGTGGCCTGTCTGCGACGGGGGGCTGGCCTTGCGCGGAGGGGCGTGGCCTGTGCGCGGCGGCGCTCGAGGGTTGTCGGGAGCGCGGCGCACAGGCTGAGGCGGCGGCGGCGGCCCGGGGAGACGGTTGCTGCGCGCGGGACTTCGGTCGCTGCCTGAGGCGCAGGCGCCAGGACTCAGCCCGACTCGGGCCGCGGCTCGCTGTGCGCTCGTCATGGCGGACAGGCAGCAGACTTTACACCTGGTGGAGATCAGGGCCTCTGACTTCACTGGCCACATCTCGATCAAAGAGATGGTCCGGGGACCCATGGACTCCGAGGGGAG